TTTTTATTATTATTTTAGAAAGCTTTGCTTTCCATTAGGAAATCATGAATCAAAACATCTATTTCAGAAACAAAAGTCCTTAGCACTTGTCTCTATTATATGAGTCAATCTTATACAGAATGAGGTTGTAGATATCAGAAACATCACCTGCATCAAAGTCTTCCCTGTAGCTCCATTTGCTTATTTTACTTTTTTGTTAAGCATTTCGTTTAGGTAACAGGGTTTTAATGGTAAGATTTGTGCAACGCTTTGCTGCAGCAAGCAAGGCAAGCTGTGGAAAAGCAAGAGACAATATAAAGAACACAAAGTTATAGCAGGATTAGAGGTGAACTCATCAGTTGGATTGATAGCACTAAATGATTACACTGAAGAAAAAGAGCATTATTTGAGCAAAATGCACATAGCCTCTAATGTGTTCAAGGAAGCAATGTAAATGGGAGAAAACTAACAACAATTGATACTTCTCAGAAGAGAGTCATACAATACCCTGAAGCTGAAGAAGAAAATGTTTTAAATAGATTTTTAGGAGATTTCAGCAGTAAAAAGTGTCTTGTAAGGTGTAGTGGTAGAGATACTATTCAAGTTATAGTAAAACATGGCTGACACCAGCAGGAGTCATTCGACCAAATGCAAACACCCACTGAATGGTCCTAATAGTCATTTGCTGGTTTTTATTGAGCAAATCCACCGAAGTTTTGTGTGTTTTTTTTTTGTTTGTTTGTTTTTCTTTTTAAAATCTAGATGCCTCTGATTTCGTGCAAGGATCTGCCTCTGCGGTGATGCATGTTGTATGAGTGTGTGGTGGTTTAAGATTATGTTGATTCGTGGGACGGGGTGAATCCACTGAGTCACTGACTTGTGCAGAGGAAGGGGGTGGTATTCCTGAAAACATGAGCAGAGCTTGTTTTTTGAGTTTATCTCGGGTCAGTCAGGAAGTTTACAGCTGCTGCAGTAGGAGCTCCCTCAAAACCTGCCAGTAATCCCCCACTCCCCGCTTGCTTTTTTTCATTTTATTTTCTTCCCTTTTTTCAGGGGTAGTGGTCAAGAGAAATTAAAGAGAATGTGAGGGAGCTGCACAGGGCAGTGCTGTAACGTGTGTGAGGTGTAGGTTATCCTCTGAGATGCTGCTGCTACCAAGGATGGGGGTGGGATTAGCATCGGTGTCTCCTGCATTTGCGTTCTCGTGTAATTATGGGAATGCATTCAGTGTGCAAGGGTATCATTGCTGCCCTGCTGTTTTATCATTTCTTTATGAGATAATGTTGATTTCAGCAATGAAATGCAAATTTAGTTTACAGTGCTCCTTTTCTCTGTGTAAAGGTTAAAATGCATATTGTAGATAATACTATTGGTGCTGCTTTTGAACAGTCTTTGTCAGCTAATTTCAGCAATACATGGTTTTAAATGCTGTTCAGTGCGACTGCATGAGTTTTATTTTGGCCTACATGAATTAAATTTAACCCAACATGCATGTTGTTACCATTTTGGCTATAATTTGATCAAATTATCATAAAACATTGGTACCAACAAAAAAATTTGGATGTGCTGAGAATATTTAATATGTAGCATGCCTTCTGTGTGATACGGCAAACCGACCGCATGATTATTGAAGTTGAGCCATCTTAACTCTACAATCATAAAATGTTTCCAACACAGGGTGTTAACAAATATTCGCAGGAGTGCAGATGCTAATGACTTTTGTGTTCAGAGGGTATGTTTTGGTTTACTTACAAACAAAGAGTTTGTCTTGCTGATGATTAAAGCGCTCTGAATTTTAACGAGCCCCGTTACAATTGGCCATGGTGTAGATTATAGACAGCTCCATTTCCTAAACGTTGGGGACTCCAGCAGCAATAAAATACGTGCAAGAATGAGAATAGTTTTCAGCTATCAGGAGAGTTCAAATGTAACAACAAGACTAGTACTAACGGAAGTTGTCTTTTTTATTGTTATCTCTAATTTATCTCGCTTTCCTGTGCAAACTGCTCACTATTGTGCAAAGGGAGGGGGTGTGTTACCTTTGGTGACACTGTGTTGCTCCCATTAAGGAGCACTGTATGCTGTTTGCTTCAGCAGAGCTGTATGTTTTAGGTGTGTTTTGTTTTGATTTGTTTTTCCAACCTGCATGAGCCAAAGAACGTTTCATAACTGCTAACAAATCCCATTTCTACTTTAGGTGGTATGGCAATAAATGTGCTCTTGTGGTTAGTAAAAAGAGTGTATAAAAAAGGAGTGTGAGTGTTTTAAACATATTTAGTATAAACGAGAAGAAAGGTGGGGGAGAGGGTGTTATGAACTGAGATGTGATGCAGACAGTATTGGAAAATAGCTCTGAAAATGCTGAGTTGGAATAATGACTGAATAATGTCTAAAGTTTATCAAAACTGAAAGAACTCCTGATGTGAAATGAAGCCTCCAAAGAAAATTCTGTTCTGTCGCTGTGTTGCTTTGCTGTTGTCGCATGTCATGCATGAATGAAAATGCTGCATTCTCCAGGGAGTGGTAAAGCTTCTGTGTAGGTTGTTTATTTCCTTAATCCCTCCTTCTTCGTGATTTCCAATGTCAGATATAAAATGGAAAGCCTGTAAATATAGTGATTATCATACTGATTATCACCTGCATTAGGGAACGCCCCGGCTGGCCGCTGTAACCCCAGCAGTCTCCACATGTTACAGCCACTTCGATTTTAACCTGACTACTTTATTAGATACGTGGAGCTCAGTATGAGGTGCCCTAGGGCTGCACAGATGGGGTCCGCTTGTTTCCTGTTCTCACTGTTATTGTGAATAGATACTAAAAGCTTCTCATTGCTTTTATCTGGTTAATTTACTTTGAACTGGTCCCAGCATTCAGGGCCTGCTGAACATTTCTCACCATTTTGCAAACACCAAACTGGCGTCTCCAAAGCTGTGTTGTGAGCTTTTCTCTCCATTTTGCTGGAAGGGCCTTAATTCTGGAAGGGGTGTCATTCAGGGAGATGCTGATTCTCTGGGAACTGTAGGCTCAGTCGTTATTGAAAGAAGCTGTTCGTGAGGTTTGGTTGATAGGAGAGCAGAAAATTAAGATTGCTGGTGTTCTGTGGCACATTCAGACACCCTTAGATTAGAGGTCAACTGCAGGAAAATCTATGATTGTATGCTAGCCGCTATTATTCATGGAGCTGGGCAGCAGACCAGGCTAAAAGATGGAGCTCTAGCAGGAAAATCCAAAGATAAGATACTTTTTAGCAAATGTGCAATCGTTTAACTTTTCTGTGGAAGGGCCAGGTCTTTCAAACCACATGTGCTATGCATGGGTGCCCCAGTACAGAAAATTAAGATGAATTCTCTCAAAGTCTCCCACATAAGGAAATACTACTTAACTGGAATAGCTTTTTATTTCACAGATGTAAGAATGTACTGGTGTCCAGTTTCCTGGCCAAACAATAGTTTAACACAGATGTTAATGTCCTGCTGCCTTGGGGCATTAAAGAAATCCCCTAAGGACAGATCAGTGCAACTTCCGATTTCACTCGCATGACCAAAAACCTGAGGTTAAAGAAGTAATCTGGCTGCAGTACATAATTTTTGGTTTATTTTCCTATTCTCTGCCCCCCTTAGCGCTCCCTTATTTCTCTTATTTTTGTTTTGCTTTTTTTCCTGTGTCCTGGTCCCATTTGAGGCTTTCTTGATTGTGTTGCAGTTCATTGTATGTGCATCACTTTATAGTGGAAGCTTGCAGGCTCCTTTTTTTTCATATGAGCATAGGCTTTGTTAATCACATGCTGGTTTAGGAAAACACTGCATGATATCTTTGAACCCTACACTCCGTCTTGACAGCCAGGCTAGCAAATGTCATTGACTGTGTGATGTACAAGAATGAATTCAATTGTAAGTAAATTGTCAAAGTGGCTAACCTTGCCCGCACCCAATTGTCAGGACCATGATTCAGTTTTTCTGTCAACATCAGCTAAGGCTAACCCGGTCAGCCTTATGTTCCTGCAGTGAAGCAGCCTGAGGAGTTGTGCTTTTCAGCTGATCACATTTTATTAACCTCAACTTACTGTTGTTATAATCAATTGTACCCACTTCAAATTCTTAGATTGCCCCCAAATTGGCAGATCATATAGGTCCACGAGTATGTATTTTCTGCAGTATTAAAGCTGTCATAGGGATGCTGGCCTTAAATGACGTGGTGCAGTAGTTATTTTTGTTTAGTTGGATCGACTCGCTATTCAGACTCGAGCCTTATCCGTCTATTAATATCACTTGGCAAAGATAACCTGGAAGATTGCTAGTTAAAATGTGAAGACTTTGAGCGTTGTCTACAGTATTGGCAATGTTGAGGTAGAAAGTGAATAAGGGAAAAACATTGCTGTTGTCTTCTGTCTCCTTGCTTTTATTTCAAAAGAGATTTTAATTGCTCCAATTAATATAAATAAGAAATGAGGACATTCTGATACCCTGATGTTTCCTCTGTTCTTTGAGGAAAAGAACATAGTTAAATTGCCTAAAGCAGTGATTAAGACATCAGAGTATTTTAAAATGCTCTGATTCCACCACAAGGGTTTGAACACATTTCGTGATCCTATTTTTTTTTATGCACGGTAGACGACAAATGCTTTTTGAAAAATGGCTTAAAAACCTCTATCCCATGAAGTGCATAAATAGAGATATCATGCAATTTCAATTAAAAATATGTCTGAAGGATATTTGCCTGGCTGTGAAATAGTGATTTCCTGCTTAAAGTCCTACATCCAGCAGTAACTTTCCTTGCCCAGAAAAAAAACCTATATTGTACCTTCTTTATTTGAACTTGTGGATTGTGTTGACATGGTGCTGTTGTTGGGCTAGCAGGAAGGAGGGGGAAGCTTTTGGTGCAACTATCAGGATTGAACAACTGTATATGGGGATATTGAGATAATCGTGTAAAAGGAAAACTGGCTGAATGAGTTTCAAAATGTGTTATTTCTTCATTATCTAGCACTTTATAATTAACTGTTCTTTTTTTTATTATTGCAGGAAGCTGCCACTTTTGCTAGAGAGCAAGGCTTTGAGGTGAGTTAACCCACAATTGCACACTAAACAGATCCTAAAGGTTTTTTTTCGTGCTGATAATGAAGTTCTTTTGGACAATGATTGATGTGCTATTATACTCTCCAAGCCTCGCAGCGGTTGCCATGGAAACTTGGCAGTCGTCATGGTTTCTTTGTTCTGCCAGCTCAGTGTTATGACGCACTCTGCTAGGTCTGCACCCAACATCGCCTACAGATGTTATTTATTGAATTTTGAAAAGCCTCTTGGGAAGCCGAGAGGTTGGGCACGGTTTCAAGCTGCCTCTGCAGATATGGGACCTGTCAGTTTGTTCAGTTAAAAAGCTACCTCATTAGCTGCATTACACTCCATAAGGATTCGCTGCTAAGGCAGTGGCGAGGCAAGACTAAATAGTGAAATCTAACACCGCTTAAAGAACTTAAACCCTGCCATATGCGGATTATCATTATGCAAATGAATTTTAGAAAGGTTGTATATAAAATTGTTAGGTACTGATTAATGTAAACCCTGCTTCTCCAAACAGCTTCTTTCCGAAGGGGTAGTGTGGAATTTCTGTTTCAAAACAGATTCAAGTTGGTGTTTTCCATCTGTGTTCTGAAAATGCCTGATCCTCTACTTTCTTCAAGTAAACACTGTTGATTTTACAGTGATTCTCAGAGCTTTTGATTTCATCTTCTTGAGGAATTTATTCGAGTGCCTAGACCTTTTTATAGTTCCTCTCATTGGCTGCATTCAGATAACTTAATCTGCAAAGCTATCAGCTATTGGTCTCTAATGCTCGATTCAAATAGGCAGGTTTTAAATACTATAATTAATGTGACAACAGTTGTACTAATTTCACAGATAGTAAGCGATCTCACTGAAATCTAAATTGCAGAACTGAACACACATAAATCCTTTTACATGTTTTTTCACTGGAATAAGATCCACCTTAATTGATTTGTTTGCAATGTGGAAGAATAGATAGGAGTTTGACTGCTCAACACCCATTTTGCATAAATAATAGAGCCGCGCAATTCGAACTGCGTCGCTTTAAGCACATGCCACTTTTGTGTGGGGATGGTTGCATGCAAAAAAAAAAAAAAAAAAAAAAAGAAAGACTGGCAGCTTTTGTTCTACAATTTAGATCTCTTTAGAGCCATACACCAGCAGGTACATCAATGCCATCAATGTTTTAGATATTAAAACTGTGGGCTGTCCCATTTCATTTTATGTTTTCTAAATTCATGCGGCTGCTTTGTAGAAATCCAGACTTTTTATCACTGTCAATTTTCATTTGTATAATCTGTATTGTTAGCATAAAAATACACTTCCAATTTATTCTATCAAATGAATGAATTTCACAGATGCCTCCAAATATATTATGAAGCATAACAAATTATTGATACCCTCTGGTAGCTAGACAATAAAAAAGAAAGGAAGTAGTGTATTAAGCCTACCCATTCTATATTTTTATTGCCCCCTTGAGCTAAAGACTTTGAATGTGCCTGGTTTAAATTCAGCTCTAGTGACAAACTGCTTTTGCTGGTGTCTGCTAACTACCATCGTATTAACCTTTCCATTAGTGCTTGCTTAGAGATTCTAGCATGGTTCCTTCTGAACATCCTAAATCTGCCACATTTGATTACAGCATATCAGTAAAGTGCACAATGATTATGATCTTATCTCTTATTACCCCCTTGCTTGGCAACAACTCACACGTCAAGTTTCCTGACAGAGAAGTGTAAAATTTGATAAGTGTCCACAGTCTTGTTTTCCCATTGTGCTGTAAAGGAAAAAAAAAATCCACATTACTGAGAAAGTATCTTAGGAAAAACTTAAATATCTTCAACTAGCTTTTCAGTTAAAAAAAAAAAAAAAAAAAAAAAGGAAAAAATTCCAGCAGTTCTCAAAATCTTTTAAAATTGATTCTGCAATTTGTATGGGTTGGAATTATATGGTGTTTAAGGTCCCTTCCAACCCAAACCATTCTATGATTCTATATTCTATGATTCTATATTGAGAAAGCATAAAAAGGTAAAGGACTGGAGTGGCCAGAGCAAAAATCAAGAGAATATTTACCATAAAAGTATTGAAAAGTTGCTGTTACCTGAATTTGAATTGCAACCTGGAAAGAATTTTATTTTTTAACAACAGCAAAAATAATTTATCGGAAGTCTTTTAGCGTGGAAAGTCAATTGTGACTAGCTTTTTTAAAAAAATATCATCTCCATTTCTGTCTTACACTTCAACAATTTGTGTGGTCTATGTATCATATAAATATGGATTGAGTTAAGTATATCAGAAACAATTTTAAAAAAAAGCACAAGCCAACTTCAGGAAAAAAAAAAAACACTTTTTTGAAGAAATAAAATCTTGTAATTGGGAGGGGAAAAAACTTCCCTGACACACATGAATTTTTTTTTATTGTATGAGAAACATTGTTCAAAGGAATTTTTATTTTTCTGTTTCACCTTACTAAGAGCTAGTTTTCCATTGTAGTTTGCTGAAATCCGAGGTGTATTTATAAAATCAATCACCATATTTGAAGACTGTTATTTCCTTCACTTTATCTCCTGACCAGCGCTTATGTGTAATAATCAAATGCAGAACATTACTTCTGATGCAGTCTCTTCCTGGAGTGCATCAGTGGTGTCTTTTTTGTGAAGTTTGTGTTCCAAGACATTTAAAAAATATTACATAAATAGTAAATTCACTGTCTCTGAAGATAGTGCTTCATCCTAATTGCATATTGCAGTCATCTCAGTAATGCATTATAATAGTCACCATTTTTATCCCAGCTCTTGACTTGGTTCCCCATGAAGTAGTAGAATGGTTGTCAGTATATTTTAACTACGTTTCAAGTAAAAGAATTGCCAGGATAAGGGATTGTGAGGTTTTATTTTTATAAAATGGTAACTTGCTGTTCATTATATGTAGGAATTAAGAAAACACAGTCCTACTTTAACATAAAACTTAGGGTTCAGTTCATTCTGTAAACCCAAACTGAAAATTAAATAAATGGAGCAGAATGTATATTAGGGGTTGGTACCAGCTGCCATGCAAAATAATTTTTCGTGTTGGAGATGGAGCTCTCATCTGGAAGTATATATTACTGGTTAGGGAACCAAATGAGGGAGTTTGGGATCTTGGGTCAAATTGAAGTCTTAAAGGCAATGATTTCCACTGTTTCCAATGGATTCAAGCTTATTTAGTTCGGGGCTGTGGTGGTCCCAGTTTTTGTATGTCTGTTCCGAGACAGAGCTCACAAGTGCCTAACTAGCAGTTTTAGCCGTGTGGTGTTTTTCACATACCTCTGCCTGAGCCTGGGATATCAGAAGTACTTTATTCCATGCGTATAGCCCACTTACTTGCTGGAAAGACCACCACAGGCAAGGTTTCTCAGGTCAGCACCAATAGGCAGATCATGGTTGTGTGAGATTTGCATGTCAGCTTTGTTAATCAGATTCAAGCATACAATTTGGCAAGTGTGAGTATCCCATGAATCTGGGACATGTTATAGAGGCTTTAGGTCCATGAGCCAGTACAGTCCTACTGTTCAGCCTTGTCTGTAGGTACAGGGTGCATAGCAGAGTCTAGGTAAGTGCACAAGTATGAGTCAATGCAAAATAAACATTATTCATTAAAGCTATTTGATGATATTATGTATATACCATATAGAAAAAGGCAATGACAATGTTTCATACTGCTGCTTGACAATGAAATGAGGGACATAGTAGTTAGGCAATCCTGAACTATAAATATTCACATACCACAAAACGTCACAGTTGTACCTTCTTGGGCAGAGTGACCACGAAATGGTGGAGTTCTCTATTCTTGGCGGGGCCAGGAAGGGAACCAGTAAAACCACTGTATTGGACTTTCGGAGGGCTGACTTTAGGCTGCTCAGGACACTGGTTGGTGGAGTCCCATGGGAGGCGGTTCTGAAGGGCAGAGGGGTTCAGGAAGGCTGGGTGCTATTCAAGAGGCAAATCCTAATGGCACAGGAGCGGTCTATCCCCATGTGCCCAAAGATGAGCCAGCGGGGAAGACGACCAGCCTGGCTCAACAGAGAATTGTGGCTTGAGCTTAGGAGGAAAAAGAGGGTTTATAATCTTTGGAAAATTGGGCAGGCCACTAGGGAGGACTATAAGGATGTAGCGAGGCTGTGCAGGGACAAAATTAGGAAGGCCAAAGCTCATCTGGAGCTCAAGCTGGCTACTGCCGTTAAAGATAACAAAAAACGCTTTTATAAATACATCAACACAAAAAGGAGGACTAAGGAGAATCTCCATCCTTTACTGGATGCGGGGGGAAACTTAGTTACAAGAGATGAGGAAAAGGCGGAGGTGCTCAATGCCTTCTTTGCCTCAGTCTTTAGTGGTAAAACCGGTTGCTCTCTGGATACCCAGTACCCAGAACTGGTGGAAGGGGACGGGGAGCAGGATGTGGCCCTCACCATCCACGAAGAACTGGTTGGTGACCTGCTACGGCACTTGGATGTGCACAAGTCGATGGGGCCGGATGGGATCCACCCAAGAGTACTGAGAGAACTGGCAGAGGAGCTGGCCAAGCCCCTATCCATCATTTATCAGCAGTCCTGGCTATCGGGGGAGGTCCCAGCTGACTGGCGGCTAGCAAACGTGACGCCCATCTACAAGAAGGGCCGGAGGGCAGACCCGGGGAACTACAGGCCGGTCAGTTTGACCTCAGTACCAGGGAAGCTCATGGAGCAGATCCTCTTGGGAGTCATCATGCGGCACTTGAAGGGCAAGCAGGCGATCAGGCCCAGTCAGCATGGGTTTATGGAAGGCAGATCCTGCTTGACGAACCTGATCTCCTTCTACGACAAAGTGACGCGCTGGGTGGACGAGGGAAAGGCTGTGGATGTGGTCTACCTTGACTTCAGCAAGGCTTTTGACACCGTTTCCCACAGCATTCTCCTCAAGAAACTGGCTGCTCTTGGCTTGGACTGGCGCACGCTTCGTTGGGTGAGAAACTGGCTGGATAGCCGGGCCCAGAGAGTTGTGGTAAATGGAGCCAAGTCCAGTTGGAGGCCAGTCACTAGTGGCGTCCCCCAGGGCTCGGTGCTGGGGCCGGTCCTCTTTAACATCTTCATCAATGATCTGGATGAGGGCATTGAGTGCACCCTCAGTAAGTTTGCAGATGACACCAAGCTAGGTGAGTGTGTCGATTTGCTTGAGGGTAGGAAGGCTCTGCAGGAGGATCTGGATAGGCTGCACCGATGGGCTGAGGTCAACTGTATGAAGTTTAACAAGGCCAAGTGCTGGGTCCTGCACCTGGGGCGCAATAACCCCAAGAAGAGCTACAGGCTGGGAGAGGAATGGCTGGAGAGCTGCCAGGCAGAGAAGGACCTGGGAGTGATGGTGGACAGTCGGCTGAATATGAGCCAGCAGTGTGCTCAGGTGGCCAAGAAGGCCAACGGCATCCTGGCTTGTATCAGAAACACTGTGACCAGCAGGGCTAGGGAGGTGATCGTCCCCCTGTACTCGGCTCTGGTGAGGCCGCACCTCGAGTACTGTGTTCAGTTCTGGGCCCCTCGCTACAAGAAGGACATCGAGGTGCTTGAGCGGGTCCAGAGAAGGGCGACGAAGCTGGTGAGGGGCCTGGAGAGCAAGTCCTACGAGGAGCGGCTGAAGGAGCTGGGCTTGTTCAGCCTGGAGAAGAGGAGGCTCAGGGGTGACCTTATCACTCTGTATAAGTATATTAAAGGAGGCTCTAGCGAGATGGGGGTTGGCCTGTTCTCCCATGTGCCTGGTGACAGGACGAGGGGGAATGGGCTAAAGTTGCGCCAGGGGAGTTTTAGGTTAGATGTTAGGAAGAATTTCTTTACTGAAAGGGTTGTTAGACATTGGAACAGGCTGCCCAGGGAGGTGGTTGAGTCACCATCCCTGGAAGTCTTCAAAAGACGTTTAGATGTAGAACTTAGGGATATGGTTTAGTGGGGACTGTTAGTGTTAGGTCAGAGGTTGGACTCGATGATCTTGAGGTCTCTTCCAACCTAGAGATTCTGTGATTCTGTGATTCTGTGATTCGAAATGCAACACAGTGGTGAGGCAAAGATGTATAGTGGAAACGTTAAAGCCTCCCCAACATTGAGGTTCCAGCTCTTCCACTATATCATCTATTTCTTATTGTCTTTCTTTGAAAATTTTCAGTTTGAAAAGTGATTTTGGCTGAAAGTGGCCAAGCTAATTCTCACAGATGATACTCAAAGTCCTCACAATCAGAACAACTCCTCAAACCATTTTATTCTGAAGTTTCTACTTTTTAAAAAAAATACTTTCCACTAATTACCTTTCTTCTGCTGTTGCACGCTTACTGTGTATTTAATTCTTCTTGAAAATATACATGCTTTTTACTTTCTTTTACCATCTACCCTATTTCATCCTTTACCATCGTTCTTCACTAGTATTTTTGCTTAGGACCTTCATTCCCTCATATAAGTTTCTCTTTGTTCTTTAAACTGAAGAAATGGTCTCTTGATCATGTTATTTTCTCCCATTATAACGTCCTTGTTTTCCTCTCAAAATCTAAAGTGCATGTAAATAAACTACACAAATATCTTTAAGCTCTTTGGTTTCTTTGCCTGCTTTGCTCCACTGTAAATGTACTTAATAGTGTCATTAGTAGTTGCTTCCTCCTTAGGAAAAAATAAATGCTTCTTTCCCATTTTTCTTGGTATTTGTGACACTTTATTGTATTTTTACTTCAAGGTTATCTTAATTGTCAAGGCCTGAAGTAGTTCAGAACTTAGGTGTCTGAAGCCTACCCATTGCCAGGTTGGAGGGCCGCAATTCTCCATTCATGCCCTGCTAAACAGCCTATGCCACTAGCTGATACCTTCTACACATAAATCTCCACTTAAAAAGACATTTGAAAACAAAAGAGCAGCGACTGCATTTTTCTCTCTGGCATCTTTATGGAAATACTTGCCTTTTGAGAATTAGGGGTAAGGTGCTCTTACTCAGAGGGATTCAAGGTTCTTCCCTCACTTCTCTAACAGAAGTTTCCCCTTGAAAGCTCATGTTAAGAGTCTAAGCAGGAGGAAGTAAGAAATAACACAAATGAGAGTGTAGTAACTGTATATGGAGATTAAAAGTTTGAGACAATTTTAAAAAGAAGTAGTTAGAGACCAATAAGTAAGGGGAAAATATTTTAGTGTTTGGTAAATGTATCTTAATCGATGGGTTCACTGACTACCAGAGATCTGGAGGAGAAATTAAAGGGAGGCTAGAACTATGGCAAAAGAACTAAAGTATTTTCATTTAGAGGGATATTGATAAATATACAGCTCAGGCATATTCTCTGTACCTAATAAAAGTGGAGTGCTGTCAGTGATTTGATCAACAAGATTGCTAAAAAGCAACAAGTAAACAGGACTGAATGTATGCAGGTTTATAGGTCTTGTTTATCTAAGCTGCTGCTGAAAAAGAAGCAACCTCTTGTTAAAATCAGCAGCTGCAGTCAAAACTTCACATTCTGTACCTGGCTTAAAAAATAACACTATATGCTGATTTTGGAAGATAAAAATTTATTAATATAAATTAATCGAAACAACTCTGGTAGATAACTTGAAATGACTCTGGACAGCTTTATAAATAAACTCTATTCATTATGTAGTTGTGTTAAAAAAAAAAATGAGTTGGGATTCGTAATGAACAGGACACTAAAAAATCCAGAAGATACTGTTGTGGTTTCAGTCTGTACTCAACACTAGGCCCTCACCAAATCTGCTGTCTCTAAGCATAGTAGTTTCTACATAAGAGCAAACTAAAAAAAGAAAAACATTATGGTGTTATTTAACACAGATATGAATAAAGCATGGCCCAGTAAGTAATATAGAGAATAAATGTAGTCTTTCTAACTTTTCCTACTGTTTAAAAAATAAAAAAAAAAAATTATACGTGATGGCAAGAAATAGGTTTACATATAACAAATTTAATTTATATGGAACTTACTGACTCCAGATAAATTTGAGAACAAAAGCTTACCACAGAGCATTATAAAAGGATTTGATGCTTATACAAATAACAGGAATACCTATATTTAGATGAGATTGAAAACTAAATAAATTAGAAGTTGAAATCCTTGTGTTTCAAATCATAGGGCAACTAAAATATGAGAATAGGAAGGATAATGTTCTAATGACAAGTTGTGCTGTTACTGGGTTTCTTGCATCAAATAAAACATCTCAAACTTGTTGCTGTCGAAGACATTGGATGGATTTGTGGTTTGGTTCAGTATGCCAAGTTCTCTGTTCCTAGCTGCATGCACTGTGGTGTACAGACAAAGTCCCTTTAAAGCAAAGATTCTTGAAATTTTTGCAGCTTATCCTCACTTCAGCAAATTGGGAATGTTCTGTGCCCCACTGAATACAGCTTCCACCCTTTCCTTCCCTACATCTCAGTGGTGCAAACAGATAGGTACTGAGCACACCGCGTATTCACCTGGGCTCCACACCTTTGAAGGTGCTGCAGGGTGCCCTGGGTTTACTTGTTGAGATCAGTTGTTGCAGGGAAATTCAAGGAACAATGTTAGCAATCCTGCTGAAATCGGAGGGATTATGCTACTATAAAACCTGGCTAAATTGGATGAAAATCAGGCTCAGAGTTTATCCAAAGTATTCTCTTACCAATTTTATTTTTAATTTTATGATAGGTAAGGTTAGAATCCAGTCAGCAGCAAAGAAACCCACTAATTGCTCATTAGGAAATGCTCTGTAATTCCTTTGTTAGCTTTGCAGTTTTGCAGCAATTGGAATAGCTGAACTATCATTATCAAGATTAAAAACACTGGTCTCATAGTACTACATAAACCCTTAGGAGAATGAAGTATTTCTCCTTTTAAAAATCTTTCTCTACGGACAATAAAGTCTGTTTTATACCTAGCCATAAGAAAATAAATTTTTGATCTGCTAATACAGTTCTAATCTTTCACTGCTCTAATATGCTGGTTACAAGAATTTTCTCTCTTCATTAATAGACTGAAGACATTAAAGAGATAGCCAAGAAGACACAAGCCCTGCCAAAGGTGAACACTAAAAGGCAACGAATTGTAGTCTTTACCCAGGGGAAAGATGACACTGTAATGGCTACAGGTATATTTTTCAAATCTTTTTTCTCAGTAAATATTCTAGTTAAGCAATTCCAAGTTCTGGTTTTAAAAACTGTTAAATGGTAGGCATAGCGTTTGCCTTTTGATGTTAATGTTTCTCATCTCTGTTATGTTTTTAATTGTTTTAAGATTCTGAATTCAAGAAGTTGGTATTTCATAGGAATGCCTGAGAATTTAGTTCTGAACATCTGAAGTTCTTTTTTATAACATAGATCTAAAATATTGATCCAGTTGGTTTTGCTCAGATTTTATGACTTGAGATTTTATCTGTGTAGCCATCTTTGCTGCAAACAAGAACACACTATGCCTGCTGAGAACAGCTGTGCAACAGTATAGTATATTTAAACATTTGTGAAAAGGAGGAAGTGAAATCCAGTACTAAGTGAATTTCCAGTCTTTCTTGCTTTGAGCAGAAAGTCTCACTTCAAGCTTTTCTCAGCCGTCTGCTCTTCTATTCTCAAAGGAATACGTGGGAAAAAGGTGTTCTAGCAGGGATACAAGTAGTTTGTGCTGTCTAAATTGATGATGTACGACACACAGATTTAAGCATTATAAACATGACTGCCTACCTTTTGACAGTCTCTTTAATTTTGTCCACCTATGCTTCTAGACTAAATAAAGCTATTAAAAACATGTGCTGTGGCAAGCCATTTTAGTCACTCATTCCTGCACAAGGTAAGTTATTAGTCAGGGCTGAATTCCTCCTTTGGAAATCAAGTGAAGTCGAGGAAGCTTTGCACCTGAGGGACCAGTGCTTACTCATATGATATTTGCCTCAAAATCAGAATTTGCTTCAGCCTGTGGCTGCAGGGCTAGGCACTAAGTAGGTATGTCACTGCTATATAGATCATTCTTAGCAGCAGTTTGAATGATTTCTCCAATAGTTTGCTCCTTCCTGTATTTTGTTAGCTACAGACTGATTTAAAGGAAATAGCAGTCACTGAGAGTTGTGTATGTGTATCTCACTGAATAATGATGAAAGTGCTGCTTCCAGAAAGTTACTGCATTATGTGAATGGCCCATATGGAGGCACTCCACTGGAGTATTGTACAGTTGGCTGAGAAATAGCAGTGTAAAAATGTTTTTATACATGAGCTAGTAATAATGGTAGTAAACCTAAATCTTATGTGTAACCCTCCTGTGCTCTTATTTAATTTTCACTGTGTACTTATTTTATTCTTCAAACTGGAGTTGTTAACAAATCCATTAATCCCTTCTTTGATATTTTTACAACTGGGAGCTTATTTGAGGACTGACACTTGCTAATCTTAGCTGTTTGTTCGCTATGAAATGAACTTAAATTAGAGAATGCACTTTATATGCATGATAAATGCAAGATGGATAGAGAGTGTATGCAATGGTGTCAGCTACAAAAGCAAACATGATAAATGTTAAGGCAGTTTTGAGCCGTGGGATAAGCTATTCAGTGCACAAGCGTAGCTGAATCTCTTTGCTATGTTGTTATTCATGGCAGCCAAATAAATGTCAATAATAAAAGAGAATTAAAGATTTTCATTTCCCAGAGGCAGTCCTCTAATACAGCTTGATCTTTCATTTCATTTGTAATTCGTTCTCATGTCAGGATGCAATCATTCGCCTGGCTCTGTGTGTCATGTTAAGTCATTTAATAATGATTAAGAACATAAAAATGTTTGGCCTGTGGGGCAATTCTCAAAAGAGATACCAATTTGTTATTGTTTTCCCCCTTTTTCCTTCCTTTGGTGTGGATCATCTTTTTCCCACCTCTTCACGTTAAAATAATAATGAAAGGAGGAAAATGTGTCCCTTAATTTAGTATATGATGATATGATAGAAAGGCATAGAGTACTGTTAACACACTTATTTCAACACTAATTAGGTCTAGTTGTACTTTGAAACCTGCAGTGGAAAGTGTAAAATGTTTCTAAATGATTTTTGGAAGAATTGCTGTATTTAGGAGTAGTTACCTGCATGGAACTCATTCCCTCTTTGTAAAGTACAGAAGAAGAGTAGGTTTTAGAAAAAAGCAGTCTGTATAGTTGTTTATCCTGCCATTCCGAGGAAACAATGTATTGTCAGAGAGTTCGTGCCTAGATCAGTACTTGCAAAGTCATGGATTTCAGCTATGGATTTGGACCTTCCACCCAAGTCAATAGTGATAATAAGAACATGGCTCTAGGATGTTTATTAGCTGAAAGATGCTTCTGTCACTATTGACTTGACTCAACCAGAGAGGATCAGTATCCAGACAAAAGACTCTGCTGTTTCGTTCTTCCCTTCCACTGCTACCATTAACTATCCTTCATCAGCTGTTGGCAGATCACGTATTCCAGTGTTCTCAGTTTATGTCCTCTGAAGGAGTGCAGGATGGAGCTGGAGCTTACAGGTGTGAGAGTGAAAGATGCCAAGGTGAACCCACAAAACCTTTGTGGGTTTTGTACCTTCTCTTCTCCTTCTTTATTTTCCCCACGGAAAGCACTCTGCTGTCTGACAGCAACTGAGCATTGGGAGTAAAAGTGAATGCCTTGGACTGGACTGCTCCCTACAGAGAGACACGTGGGCATCCACCTCCCTGTTCTTGCCCAGCCCTGCCTATGCATGGGTACAATGAGAAAGACAACACCGTGGCTGTAAGAGCTTCCTTAAACAGAGGTCTGTTTCCTTAGTCAAAATAAACCCTCTGCTTACTGTCCTAGACAAGGCAGCCATGGGGCTAAGTTGAGAGTGTCTGTGTTGCAAGAGGAGTGTTCCTCTTTGGTGGGCTACGTGTAGGCCGAATGGTAGATCAGGGAACAGAAATAAGGAGGGGATACACTTTGGTTCAGCTCTGGCTGGAAGGAGAGAAAATGAGGTGCATAAAAGGGATTGTTCCAGGTTACTTGTTCATTCGGGAAAGGACACAGAATTATATGTGTTGGTAAATGAGATGTAGAATTCTGTTTTATTTTTGGTGGGACAAAGAAGACCAAATACAGCTGCTCACTACATGTACAGAGGACTGACTGTGGAGACAGTTGTTGATTCTTGAACATCCCAGAGAACAGAAGTATCAACAGGTATTTGAGGAGTAGAGCATAGGACAGGAAGGTGCAGATTTTTACCAAAAGAAAAGAAAGAGTGACCAAAAAGTTCAAAGAATATATCTCTGATAGACTGAGACAGCTAAAAAGTCTACTTCCTCCAGCGATCTGTCCCAGCCCTACAGCCAGGATGTTTAATCAGTTTGTGAATTGCTGCATACCCAACATTGTTTTAATGCCCACCAAAACTAGTGGTGGCTCACCTCAAAGAGACTGTGAACTGTGGCCACTCAGGCACTGATTGACAAGCAACTTAGAGGTCCACGCAGCTGAAGCAGATTATGAAAATGGCAAGAACTGCATCAGCCATTCCAGTCTAAGCCATTCCCATTTGTCAGTCCAAATTCCTAATCTGTCTGAACTATTTGTGTTTTCAGAGGAAAAATTTCTCTCTCTATCATGGAGCACATTGGGTCTTCCTACTGTCTGTTCATATCTACTCCATCACAGCACTCCAGCCCCAAGGCTCCTTTCCTCTCCCCTTCCTTCCTGTTCTCTGTCAGTAGGAATAATTGCAAGAAAAAGGCAAGCTCAAATTCAAGCTGAGTGTGATCAGTATGTTTTATAGGGAAGGAAAGGAGTGTTTAGGATTGGCACACGGGAGCTATTGCAGATGAAATGTTGACTAAATTAACTGTCAGCTTCTAATAAGACTCCATGGAGCATGTTATCATTGTCTGAAGTTCTCCTATTCGTGTCATTTGGGTGCATTTTCCTCTGATGTCAAATTTTATCTTTTTCCTGTAGAACTTGAATGCATTGGAGTTTCTTAGTGAGCCTAAGAATGACCACTGACAATTTTTTTTTTCAGAAATCTGTCCCATAATGATTGAATTTTGACAAAACTCTTGAAAAAAAGTAACCTGAGAGAGGCACCTGTGATGATACCTTTCAGTACAGAGCATTATGGTTTGGGAAAGACACTAGTAACCGAAAAATAGAATCTATGGACTTGCTTACCTGGGAAAGTTTATTTGAGGAACAGCATTGGTTAAATTCTTGTGTGGACGGTCCTTGGCTGTATTGGGAATTACTTGGCTATCAACACTCAGGTCCCACTAACGCAACCTTGTTCATCATATTCCTCTTCCCAGGTCTGAGATTCTGGATTTAACTTCAGGTTCCCGGCTTGGTGGGATACATTCATTACATGTTTCAACACTTTTTTCTGTAACCACAAAAAAATACGTATGCAGGGAAAGGGGGGAAGGGTTAATGACCACATCCAATCTCTTGATTTCGGCAGCTGGGGCTTTTAATAAACACACCAAAAATCACAAACTCTGGCAACAACATATATGTCATATCTATATGTGTGCTATAACATTTGTCAGAATTAAATGCTGTGAAAACTATCCTTTTTACAGAGTTGCTCATAACATTTTTAAACAAATTACTTTTAGTCAGATACATTTTATGACTGGTCTTGGCCCAAAGGGAAATCTTTGGAAAGTCTGAGCAAAATCAGTTCAGCAATGGAAAAACATACTTTTATATTGAAATATTTGCATAATTCAAAAACAGCTGAAGCTACAAACTTTAAACTTGGCTTGTTTTATAGCTTTAATAGTGGAAAGAAAAACAGTCCAAATTTAAAGAAAATCACTTCAGCATTTTTCAAGTTATGAATGATGAAATCTGGCATGTTCAGGCGTGAACACAGAATTTTCCATTCTTTTTTCCCCAAATATTTTCAAGACCACCTTTGTTAAGGGCACATTTGTAATAAGCTCACTTGTTAGAATATGTAGTAAAGAAATGAAATTGTAAAGGATTCAAGCATTAAAACCTATCTAAAACAAGTTAGGGTTTTACCGAGTTAATGACACCACTTACATCTTCTTCAATTTGTGGGATGTGTGACTTAAGAATGTTTCAGGAAATGTATTAGCTTTGCAGTGATGTGGTAGAATGAGAAAGGTAC